TATACGAGACACAGCAAAGACCCCCGTGAAAATAAAAAGTCAGGCACCTAATTAATCATACAACTATTTCTCATGGCAAAGTTAAATGATAAACAGTCTGTCTGTTCTTACTTTCCTGTTTTAATAATATGTTTTTTAACTTGTAGCAACTTTCCGCTGTGATCTTCAATTTTCACTCGTTATCAGCAGTTCTCATTAACAACTTCCTGTGCATTACTGAGTTTTTTCACGAACTTTAGTTTAACTTCAGCAAATATTTCTTGGAATACTCTTTCTTGTAAATATATATATAAATTTAATCAAAACGTAACCTCAGCATATTTTGTGCTTCGGTCTAACGATGAACGTTAGTTTTCCTTATGTCAGAGTAAATACACTTTACATTTTAACAACAAGAAAGAAATTCATTTGGTTGAGACATTGACCAGATTTTTTTTTTACAGCAGTTTAACCATTCCTTTGTATTTCTAGATTTTTTTTTATCTTTATATAGCTGAAATCACCTGTTAGTTCGAATATCTCAAAGATATACGGATCATTCAAAGATTAAACCTCATTTTTTTTATTCGTGAGAAGAGGATGGTTAGTAATTCTGTTCTCTGTAAGTTAAGACTCACAGCAAAGGTTGATTAATGATTAAATGAAGTAAAATAAAACGACATTTGCTCTTAAGAAGCTCTGGAAATGAGTCAAATGGTTTTAATGTGGTGAAAAGTTCTCGGAATTTAAGTTGATCAAGTTATATTCCTTTTAGTAGGCAAAAATTATCAGTTTCGAAGAAAATAATTACTCAGACACTTGTGACATTCGTCAAACATTAGAAAGCAACTGACATGGGTGATCGAAGTATAAGTACAGTCACAATAACATAATTTTCCAAAGGAAAAAAAAAGATAACATTTTAATATTAAACTATTATAACAACATACCATATGCCTCGATAGAAAATACAAAATAAATTATGTTAACTACTAGGAAAAATTTGTATTGAACAGAAAAAAGGTAAATGTATGTTTTAAATAGACTAGTATTTCTTTTAAATTTTAAGATAATTTCATTGATTTCAACAATTACTGAGAATCGAAGACACTCTTTCAAACAATTTGATGTTTAGTATGTATCGTTTCATTGTTGATGAGATGAAGTGAGATATGTATTGTTGAAATTTCTTTCAGAAACTTGGTAAAGATATGACAGTTTAATAGAAACTTCTTGTAATAGACTACATTGTTGACCTTTTGCGTATCTTCTTGTCATGTTGTTGTATTCGAATAGCTAATTATTTAGTAAAGCTGTAATAAGATGTAACCCAACTATAATAATGACAAAAAGCTGATATAACGGTAATAATTTGAAGTTTATATTACTGAGAAGGCCGTATTTTGTAAATTACGCCGAGTATTCTTGAGTGGAATCATCATGAATAAATAAAAAATAAAGCTTACTAAAATAGTTTGTTTTTATTTTTATGTGCAACATTATCTTTCTATTACAGAACTATGCATTATATGAGAGCACCCCTCAATATCAAAACTCTAATAAGTCAGAATGAATATGATAATTAATTCCAAAGAGCAAACTACAGTTATTATATTTTGGGCATATTGCAAGGCAATAAGCCCCTATGTGGAAAAGTACGGTTATGAAAGATGAGGTTCCAGAAAAGAAATCTTATGACAGCAGAAGACTCAAATGGAGTATAAAATCAAGGATTGGATGCTTGTTATCATGGTAAAAGATAAGATGACCAGCTACCTGATATCATGCTTAGTTAATCTGACCAGCAGTAACTTAACGGATTTACAATATTAAAATCCAGGGTTCGATTCTCCATTGTGGATAGAGCGCAGATAATCTATTGTGTAGAATTGCGCTGAACCAACAACTACAAATTAACCTGAACATCATACCACCACATGTATTTTACAAAATTTAAACTATATTTATGAGTTATCAAATAATAACTTTTATAAACTGATTACATCTTATTTCTCTGGCTTATGTAGATTAATACAAGTTCTTTGTAAGTAGTCATGAAATCTTTGAGACATATATGGGGACCTAATTTACCTTTTGGAAAAACAAGCGAATGAGTATATGACCATTCTCGCACAAAATACATAATATACGCCACAGAGTTGATAAATAGATTATTTATGTCTATGAACCTAACTTTAAGGATGATTTATTGTATCTGATCCGATGATGATATAAATAACAAAATGTAACCATTTCAATGAGTTTTTTCTACATTTATAGTTACGATAAGAAGTAACTATCCTTGATAGTCAGATCGAAAGTAACAGCTGTCTGTAAGTTTTATTACCGGAAAATTCAATGTTTCGTTAAAGCTGCTCAACAAAACAATTGCCAGTTTCTTTGAAACTTAAGAAAGAATATAACTTTTATTTTCATCTTTTTCAGAAATGATTTCTTTTGAGACAGCATCATCTTATGGCAAAATATAGTGCGATGACCCCTTATCTATATCAGAATAATCGGTAAAGTTTCTTGGTGAAAAGAATGAATATAAAAAAAGTTTTCCATAAGAAGAAACTAACGATAATGTTCTTAAAAGTTGCTAACTTTATTGAATAGTCGCCCTTTATATACGTATATCGTTCTCGCTTTCTTCTTGAAATAAGAAGGATTATATTTTTCGAGTTATATATCGTGTCTATCTCTGACTTCTATGCATATGTACGTCGCTTGAGAGAAACAAATAGATTTTTAAATAATTCTTCAAAAGTGTTTGAAATTTTCAAATATTGTGAAAGTATTATATTAAAATGCTTTGGAATAAAAAAATCATTACGCTTTTTACCCTCCTTATAAATTCAGCAACCTCAAAGAAAGTGAAATATTTAATTAAATATGAATAATTTTTGATACGTGCATTAAATACTTATTTTTAATGTATACTGTTACCACTGATAATTTTCTGAGGATACTATTCATTTGGAATTAAATATAAATTTTACAGTAAAAAAAAATGGGGATGGTATAAAACTTAAATTTTGTTATTTATTTAATTATTACTTGGAACTGCCAATTACTTTTCAAGCGGAATCAACCCGACAAAAGTGACTGTACAGCTGGGATATTATCACCTGGAAACAGCAACCATTTAGCTGTGAAAACGTATTAAGTGGAAGTAGGAACTTCCGAAGCTGAAACAAGCCAAGCCTATGCTTCAGCTCTTCCGAGTGGAAAAGCAATCAGTGAGGCGAACATAGCCAGATTGTGTTGCATTAAAAATTAAGCAACTTCCTGTATACAGATATACATATATACAAGCGAAGAATGATTCGCCCTTGTTCTACTGAGGCGGTGGTCTGATATGATAGAATAAACTTGTATTTATAATAAGCGCTACAGTAGTATGTAGTGGCT